GGAGCCCGTGGTTTGCGTGTTCTGGGGAGAGAAGGCGCACTGCAGCAATGGCGACTGCTCGGGTTCAGAGCGGTGCCGGCACCTTTCGGGGGTGCTCTCGAAGCAAACCTTGCCCCTAATTGAGCACGTCGCAAATGGAGGTGAGGGTGAGGCAAAGCGGACCGTTGCTGAGAGGAGGGCAGAGAGGGTTGAGCAGCGAGAAGCGGGGGCGAAGAAGCTCTTGGTCTGCAACGACCCCGTTTGCCGTCGGCCGTACTCAAAGGTCCTCTGCACGCATGGAGCCACGCTGGAGGCTTGGGAGTGTCTTCCAGCTGCAGCTCTCGACATGGGCCACAGCCGCAAGCCGATTGATACGGTCATGAGCCGTGGGGGAAGAAGCCTTTCGAGTCTGTGCGAGCGGTGGGGGGACGAGGGGGTCAGGCGGCGGGACAATACAAAGCACTTTTGTGCTCCACGACCCGTCGACTTGCTTTCTCCATGCGGACGGCCATGGCAGCTGGAGAGCAGGAAGGCGGCTCTAACAACGGCGGGGGCGCGCTACAATATCACGACTTACCGGAGGGTCTGTCGGCTAGCACCCGGCCACGAGGCAGCATGCTGCGCAGTAGCTTTTGACGGCCAGGTGAACATGTGCTTCTCATACTTTTGTTTCAGACGATTTTTTCCCAGGAGATTCGGCATCCAAAGTCGGTAAACTGTTGTGTCCGTTGACGACAGATGAGGTGCTTTCAAAAATCAAGTCGTGCGTAGGGATTGCCTGTGTATCAAAGCTCCAAATTCCTGATCTCGTCAGCAGCCATCTCGCTCAAGTGTCTTGCACCCATCGACATAGCAAAGACAGCTGCAAATCAGCTTCCTCTTCAAAGATCCGTTCGTCCCTCGCTTCAGAGCTCTCGAGAGTTGGCCGGAGGTCGATGCAGTCTGCAAGACTCAGGCCGGCCAAAAACGCTTGCATCTCAAAGTTCATCCTCAAAGGTTCGAGTTCTCTGTAATGCTCGATGAGATGATTTCTTCTTTGAGCCACCACTCTGTTTCGCCAAGCATCACGAGCCGTTTTGAAGCCCTGTAGCCCATCATTTTCCCGGACGGCTTGAAAAAGCACATCCGACTCGCGATAGTATCGTACGCGCAGTCGACATTGACTCCGGAATGGATAAGGGACCCAAGGCAGACATGTCGGGTCCTTGAGGTGGTACTTTCGGCGAGCTTCTGTGGCCGTTAAACAACCCAGCATGTCATAATAAACGCAAATGCATATTCGACAAACTATTTTTCCTCTGTGCGGAGAAAGAGGCCAGTGGAAGCACTCACGATCCCATCCACAAATCATGCACATTGGAAAAGGCTCCTTGCTTTTGATGCACCGATGTGGTCCTGGCTCGGATCCTGGGGATAAAAGTGGATACTCATGCATTTTGGTTTGAACATAAGCTTGTGCATCTTTGCAGGTGCATGCAGAAGCAGCCAAGTCTTCAAGACCGAGCTTTCCATTCTCTCCTACAATGCTGAGTACGGATGCAAACTTTGCGTTGATGTCCATGCCGTTGATGTCAGTCTCTAAAAGAAAAGGTATGATTTAAACGCGGCACTTAAACGACCTTTTAATTTTGCGTTTGCAGGAAGACGGCATCTTCAACTTTTCCGGCACCAACCTCATCTCGCACGGCCTCCTCTTGCGCAACCACTTTGCGGCGGCCCTGGGGGCGGCCCACAGCCTCAACTTT